TTTTTTCTTTTCAGCACGTTTGAGTTCCTTGTAGATCCTGGATGTTAGACCTTTGTCAGACATACAGTTGGCAAATATTTTTTCCCAGTCTGTGGGCTGTCTCCCCAATCTTTTATTATTTTGTTTAGTTGGGTGTGTTATCTCATGCATGCTTCTATCATTCTAAGATTTTCTATTCTTAAAATAAAGAGTAGTCAGTATTTCTTTGTATTCCTCTATATGGTGATCTTATACTTGTGTGTGTTTACAAATATTTATTAATTGGTTATTGAGCAGCTTTTTTTCTGCCCAGGAAGTCAGCTACATGAGTAGAATTGGTATATCTTTAATTAGTGAATAAAATGTGCTCATAAAATTATGAGACAAAGCACAAATAAGTACAAAATATTATGATGTGAGCAGAATGCTCTGAAGAAATAATGGAATAAAGGAATGATGATATGTATTAGGCCCTCAAAGTTTAGTACATAGAATAGCAGCTCCATTGTCACTGGGCAACTTGTAAGAAAAGCAGAATTTTATGTCCCACTCATACCTATTAAATCAGAATGTGCATTTTCACATGATTCCCAAATTAGTCTTTTTTGGGCATTAAACATTGAATAGCATCAAATTAGACCATTGAATCTATAACTGTAAGATTCTGTTTTGTCTAATGCTTCTACTACTGTGGCTTTCAAATGGCACCCAAGATTCACTGAGCAAAATTCAAATATCCACTCTTTTTTTTTAATTGCAAAATGAAAGTTAATTGATAAAATTTTCTCATTAAGTTTTCCGCCATAAATATATTTTTAAATACTTGGCACCTGTTACATTTGTCTTTCCTGATACCTAATACCTCTTGGTCCTGGCTACATATGATAGCAATGTAGGAAGCTCTTAAAATATAGCCCTGCCTAAGATATTGTGATTTAATTTGTCTTGGAATGGACCCCAGGTATAGATAAGTTTTTTAAAGCCGCCCAAATGATTCTAATAGGAAAGCTAGGGTTGAGAACCACTGATTTAGTATATGAAATAATACTTATTTAAGGAATATACATCAACAATGTGTGGCTTTTTTTTTAATGAGCATCATATCTTTTAGATGCCCTATAATATTTGAGAAGCTGTCTTCTATGGTTGCATTTTATCACTCAGGCAAAGATATTTGGGGAAAATATCAAAACCATTTTGTTTTTCCCCATGTTGTTAGGTAGTTTCAGATTAACTGACAATTTGTCTTCAAAGTTTGATTGATCTTGAATTCCAAATATTCACCTTGAGCTTTATACTCAGAGGCAAGCTGCTCAACCCCCTTTATTTTTATACCTTTTAGAACTTACAGTCATCTGTTTGGGCAGTTGAGTCTCAAAGATGTGATTGAAAGTCACTATTGTGCCATTATTAGAGACAGTTACTCCTTTAGAATGAACAGGAACCAGATTAATGACTCATCTGCAACCTTCTTTGTACTTAAATAAAAATCAAGATTTTAAATAGAAATGTACAAGGGGGACCCAAAGAAACCTGTAATTTACTTATTAAAAATTGTATATTTATTCTTTCATGTTTAAAAGGTGACTTCAGTCACCTTCAAAGCACTCTCCATTTGGTGCAATACATCTATTGAGATGATTTTTCCACTGCTCAGAACAGTTTTTGAACTCGACAATTTTAATGCCTTTTGATGCTTCTGTTGTTTTTTGTTTCCCCTCTTCCACATTAACAAAATGTTTCTCGGCCGGGCTCGGTGGCTCAGCCTATAATCCCAGCACTTTGAGCGGCCGAGACGAGTGGACTGCCTGAGCCCATGGGTTCGAGACCTACCTGGGCAACTTGGTGAGACCTCGTCTCTACAATAAATCAAAAATTAGCCGGGTGTGGTAGTGCTTGCCTGTAGTTCTGGCTGCTTGGAAGGCTAAGGTGGAAGGATCACCAGAGCCTGGCAAGCTGAGACTGCAGTGGCCGGGAACGTGCCACTGCACTCCAGTCTGGGCAACAGAGTGAGACTCCAACTCAAAAAACAAACAAAAAAAAAATGTTTCTCTTTGAGGACTTTTTTCATCTGAGGAAACACAAATGTCACTTGGGGTGAGATCAGGTGTATAGGGTGGGTGAGACCCAGGGGTCATGCCTCTTTTAGTGAAAAACTGCTGAATACTCAGTGCAGTGTGGGTAGGTACCCTCAAATTACCCATCATGAAATGGGCAGACCTATTGAAAGAATCCCCAAAAGTAAAATTCGCTGAAGCCAAATACAGCCTCTCACAACAATGCTAGCAGATACACTGTTGCCGATGGGTTCCTAGAACACTTACCTAATAGGGGAAGTCTGTACTACAGGTGGCCTGCCTTCTAAAAAAATAACATTTTTGGGTCCCTCCTTGTATAATAGATTCAAATATAGCAATACTTTTCTTTTCAGAGCATGGACAGAACATCAAGAATATGGATTAATCATTGATGGTTCTACATTGTCACTCATACTAAATACTAGTCAAGACTCTAGTTCAAACAATTACAAAGACATTTTTCTACAGATTTGTATGAAGTGTACTGCAGTGCTCTGCTGCCGGATGGCACCATTACAGAAAGCTCAGGTAACTGAACATTAGTTAGTGTTTCATTCTGAATACTTCTATATGCATATGTGCACATGTTCAATTGTTTTGTTAAAAGTATCTATTTCTAGCCGGGCTCTGGTGGCTCAGCCTGTAATCCTGCGCTTTGGTAAGCTGAGGTGAGTGGATTGTCTGAGCCCACGGTTTCAACACCCGCCTGGGCAACTTGGCAAGACCTCATCTCTACAATAAATCAAAAAATCAGCTGGGCATGGTAGCGCGTGCCTGTAATTCCAGCTATTTGGAAGGCTGAGGTGGAAGGATCGCTGGAGCCCACCAGGTCGAGGCTGCAGTGGCCGGGAGCGACCACTGCACTCCAGTCTGGGCAACAGAGTGAGACTCCAACTCAAAAAAAAAAAGTATTTGTTCTTCAAAGAGCTGTTATTACCATCTAATTTCTTCTTCCCTAGATTCTTCCTCTTTGTGATCAAACTCAAGAGTCTCCCCCTATTTTGAATTCAACCTATGTTGTACCTTGTTGTCCCCTCAAACTGGCTGTCCAGTTCCTCGTTTTCCAGACTTCTCTCTAATGAGTATTTCATGCCTGCTGACTCCATTCACTACTCCTAGGTCCCCTATGACATTAACCCCATATGTTCTTTCTGCTCTTCTTACTCTGTTGGCTTGCCTATCAGCAGACCTGACCCAATCCCTTGTACTGTCTTTCATTCTCTTTCTCATTTCTCATTTACAGTTGACACCATTGATTATGTTCTCCTTAAAATTCTCCTTCCTTGGTTTCTATGATAGCCCATGGTCCTGACATTTTTTTCTTCTTTTTGGCAACCTAGTGTCTTTTTATTTTGTAGTATCCTCTATCTTCTCCATAATTGTCAGCTTCCTCTAAGGCAAAGTCTTCTATATACTTTTTACTTTATGAACTCTCTCAGGATAAACACATCCATTTCTCTGACTCTCACTGATAAATCTCTGGCCCTGACTTTTTCTTGCTGTTAAGTCTCCTATTTCTAGCTGTCTGCTAAGCAACTCGATATGGATTTCCCATGTCACATTAAATTCTAGTGTCCAAGATAGATATTATAGTTTTCTTCTTCAGACTGATTTGTTTTTTCCCTTGTCTTATATTATTCCTGTTACAATACCATTTTTCTTTTGCTCCCTATGTCTCAAAACTACCTTTGATCCTTTTCTCCCTCCATATGTAGTAGACACTCTGTCCTGTTGGTCCTGCCTTTTGTCATAGCTCTCATTTTGGTACCATCCTTTGAAACTATTTACCACCAACTTAGTCCAAACCCTTATGACTCTACACGTAGACTATTCGATATAGTCTTCACACTAGTCTCCTTGCTTTTATCCTTCTACCTTCAAGCTCTTCCCCACACTTCCAAATTAGTCTGGATAACACACTACTCTTTCCATCCTACATTCTTTCTAAGACACTTTCAGTGGTTTCATAATCCATTAGGATGAGAGGCAAATGACTGAATGACTTGGGGCTTCACCCCGTTGTCCCTTAACATGTCTCAATGTACTTCGTGACCACTATTATTCCCTTTTCGAGCATAAAATTCTCCACTCCTATTGCTTATTCCTCTTTGTGTCTCTTCCACATGCCATGTTCAGGGCAACTTCCAAAACTGTTCTTACTTCATTTCCTCATCTAGAATTCTTTCTGAATTCCCCTTATATAACAAAAATTTTACTGATAATGATGAAAACCAACTCAAGGGCCACCTCCAGCATGCTATCCAACTTCCGCAACCCAAATTGACATGCCTCACCTTGTTTCTTTGTACTCACTAGGTACAGGGAAACTTAAATTCTCAGTTACATATTTTCACTTCCATATTCACTATAGAATATTCTTTCATATGTGCTAGTCTTGCTTCTTCAGATTCTTTAGCCAATTTCTCTAGATGGGAGGAGGCTATATCTATGGCCTTTCCTTTACATACCATAAACACACAAACAAACACATGCACACTGCCCATTCTATTTGGGGCATTTCCTCTGTCTGCCTTCTATCTCACAGTCCCCACTGTAACCAGAGACTCTTCTTTCTTTTCTTTAACCTTGAAATCCTCCGTTGACCCTAGCTGGGGAATCAGGTTTAAACAGAACAGTATCTAACAGTATCTGTCCCCTTAGTCAGAAGCTTGCCTCTGAAAGCCATAGACACACACACACACACACACACACACACACACACACACACACACACA